GGGCACACACACCCAGACAGACAGACAGACACACACCCAGACAGACAGACAGACACACACACCCAGGCAGACAGACACCAGACAGACAGAAAGGAGCACACCCAGACGAACAGACAGACACACACCAGACAGACAGAAAGGAGCACACACCCAGACAGACAGACACCCAGACAGACAGAAAGACACACACCCAGACAGACAGAAAAGACACACACCCAGACAGACACACACCCAGACAGACAGACAGACCCACAGAAGCAGACAGACAGACACACACACCCAGACAGACAGAAAGACACACACCCAGACAGACAGACACACACCCAGACAGACACACCCGAACCAGACAGACACACACCCAGACGAACAGACACACACCCGAACAGACACACGCACCCGAACGAACAGACACACACCCAGACAGACAGACACACACCCAGACAGACAGACAGACACACACCCAGACAGACAAAGACAGACACACCGGAACAGACAGACACACACCCAGACAGACAGACACACACCCAGACAGACAGGCCACACACCCAGACAGACAGACACACACCCAGACGAACGCAAGCCAGACAGACAGACACACAGACAGACGAAAGACACACACCCGGAACAGACACACACCAGACAGACAGACACACACCCAGACAGACACAAACCCAGACGGAACCACAGACACCCAGACAGACAGACAGACACACACACCCAGACAGACAGAAAGACACACACAGACGAACCAGACACACTTTGAACAGACACACCCAGACAGACAGACAGACACACACCCAGACAGACAGACAGACACACACCCAGACAGACGAACAGACACACACCCAGACAGACGAACACCCAGACAGACAGACAGACACACAGACAGACGAACAGACACACACAGACAGACGAAAGACACACACCCAGACAGACAGACACCCAGACAGACAGAAAGACACACACCCAGACAGACAGAAAGACACACACCCAGACGAACCACACACACCCAGACAGACAGACAGACACAAGCCAGACAGACAGACACACACAGACAGACAGAAAAGGCCACACACCCAGACAGACAGACACACACCCGAGCAGACACACACCCAGACAGACAGACACACACCCAGACAGACGAACCCACACACCCAGACGAATTACACACCCAGACAGACAGACACACACCCAGACAGACAGACACACACACCCAGACAGACAGACAGACACACACCCAGACAGACAGACAAGGCACACACCCAGACAGACAGACACACACCCAGACAGACGGAGCACACACCCAGACAGACAGACACACACCCAGACAGACAGACACACACCCAGACGAACCACAAGCAGACAGACAGACACACACCCAGACAGACAGAAAAGACACACACCCAGACAGACAGAAAAGGAGCACACACCCAGACAGACCAGACACACACACCCAAAGACAGACACACACACACCCAGACAGACAGACACACACCCAGAACAGAACAGACACACACCCAGACAGACACACACCCAGACAAGTTGAACCCACACCCAGACAGACAGACACACACCCAGACAGACAGAAAAGACACACACCCAGACAGACAGACACACACCCAGACAGACACACACCCAGACAGACAGACAGACACACACACCCAGACAGCAGACAGACACACACCCAGACAGACAGACAGACACACACCCAGACAGACAGACACACACCCAGACAGACAGACACACACCCAGACAGACAGACACACACACCCAGACAGACAGACAGACACACACCCAGACAGACAGACGCAGACAGACAGACACACACCCAGACAGACAGACCACACACCGGGAGCAGACAGACACACACCCGAACAGACACACCCAGACAGACAGACACACACCCAGATGGAGCAGACACACACCCAGGACAGGACGGAGCACACACAGACAGACAGACACACACACCCAGAGCAGACGGAGACACACCCAGAGCGAAGACGGAGCACACACACCCAGACAGACAGACACACACCCAGACAGACAGACACACACCCAGAGCAGACAGACACACACACACTGCCCAGACAGACAGACACACACCCAGGCAGACAGACAGACACACACCCAGACAGACAGACACACCCCGGGCAGACAGACACACACCCAGACAGACAGACACACACACCCAGGCAGACAGACAGACACACACCCAGGCAGACAGACACACACCCAGGCAGACAGACAGACACACACGAACAGACAGACACACACCCAGGCAGACAGACACACACCCAGACAGACAGACACACACCCGAGCAGACGAACCGGAGCCACACACCCAGGCAGACAGACAGGCCACACACGCAGGCAGACAGACACACACCCAGACGAACAGACACACACCCAGACAGACAGACACACACCCAGACAGACAGACAGACACACACAGGCAGACGAACACACACCCAGACGAGCAGACACACACACCCAGACAGAC